GGTGTTTGACAACAGTCAATTAATATTTGGCAGATGAACAAATTATAAAATGTATTGATATGTCACTATAGGTAAATATTGTTTTTGTTCTTTATCTTTTCAATGTGTTTGCATTCATGCAGTTCTGTCATTAATTTTGTATTTTTTCTTATTTTTTGTTAGACTAAGAGCAACTGAAAAGATTTAACTACAACCATAAAAGAAATTATTTAATATTACTATTATTATTATTAGAATAAATATTAGAAGAAACAAATTATATTTATAGATATCAGATGAACTAAATTAAACTTTTGTTAAACAGGAATATGACCAAACAGACACAAGGGCAATATATGTTAATGTTTGGCTAGCCATGTAGATATTCCATCTTTCTTGACATCTTCTGAGTTGTCCAAAAAAATTAAGGTATTGCATCACAGATCCATGGAAGATATTCCTCAATCCTCACTTGTCTTGGTATACTCTTTGTTCAATATTGTAACCAAAAAATTGTTGAAGAAGATGTTGTGGTATGATCACACACTGACTTTATGCTGGACAAGAACAAAAAAATCTCATCAATCACGACAATCGAGTTGCACTGAAATACAGATCTCAATTGACTGGTCAAAAAATTTATTGTCACATCACCATTTGATGATACATCAGCCAGTGATATCACATTCTATGAAACAAAATCATGGAGAAAACACAATCGAGAGAAACAGTCCAGTCAACTATTATTCTTGTTCTCAAAGTATCATGATGCCATTTCATTATACTGTTTATACATGAACCAGTGATACCACATAATGTGAAAATCTTGTTAAACACATCAACAAAATCATGGAGAAAAGACAATCAAGAAAATCAGCTAGTCAACAATATATATTCTTGCTGTTGAAGTATCATGATTGATGCCAATTAAAGATGCTGGTTGTACATAATCAAAATTTAATTTACCATCACTCGTGTGGAGGAATTGGGTGTCACAGAGAGAATGGAGTTCAGGGTGTCACAGAGAGAATGGTTTATATGCTTTGGCAGTTAAACATTGACAGTGTAAATTTGTAAAATATAGCTATTATACTGTAATACTGACATTAGTTTATATTGCACAATAATTCCTTTTCTGTTCATATATATTTTTGTAACAGCAAATTGTTTTATACACTTTATATTTTTTTTGAGGCAATACCAGAGGTGTAGCTGGAAGGGGAATGGAGGGGCCTGGTAAAATTTGGGGCCCTCCTGGGAAAATGAAGTGAATCATTGTTATGCTATCAATAATGCAAAACACCTGATCTGACCTATTGAAGTTATCTATCATTAATGTTTAGCACAAATCTTGTCTTGAGTCACACTGCTGCCCGCGTAGGTTTTCGATAGCCCCTCTCTTCCCCAAAATTCTGGCTACACCTTTGGGCAATATATACATTGTATAAATTGTGATTATAGTATATCATTGATTTATTATTATTGCAAAGATGTAGTTATTAAATTATATATGATTTACTGTTTATAGTACATGGCTTAATTTACACTTTCTGTCATGGGTAATTGAAAATTGAGATCTAATGTGTTAATTAAAGCATATAATTATATTCCTCTTTATTACTTTCAAGGTATACAAGTAATACAAGGTAAAAAATACTAGCAGGATTTTATTGTGTTATAAAGGTCAGGGATTACAGCCCAGGGTTAAGATAAAATTATAATATTTGACAAACTTGCGAAAATCCCTTTAATGGACATTTTTGTTTAATTAATACAAATAAGCCAAACAGAGTACCAGTTGGCAGTACTGCACATATTTGAATGGTTTATTTAACATTGTTTTGCAGTGGAAAGACCCGAAATTACCAAGTCTGACGACAATGATGATGATGATGTTACCAATTAGTTATTAATCAACTATAATTTTTGTGTTTACTTATAGCAGAGACTTTATCAATTATTGACAATTGATACTAGAAACTTGAATAAATCATGAATATATATTCTATGAAATCTCTATATTAGCCTTTCTCACGATGACATTTTTGGGGTACTTTCAATTTTCTCAAATAGGATTTAATAAATTATAACCACATGAAAAGCATCAACAGACCACGTACTTGAAGAATAAAATTAAAGCATATTCATCATTGTGAGAAAGGATAACTAAACTTTGACATGTGTATGAGTTATCAGAGGAATATTAAAACTTTTTATGAAATTAAATGCACCTCATTAGTTTGTCACAGTCCTGTATAAGGCCTTAGGCCTACAGAGTCGATGATGCATTGGTTTATTGGCTTCGAAATGATAGGCCTGTTATGGCTGTTAATACCAGTTAGCTAAGGATTCAAATTAGTCATCTGGTTTTCCGGGCTTTTTTGCCTGTAGAAATAAGTTCCTGTAGAACAAATAGTTTACACAATACCATGTTTATTAATACTTTCATTTGTAAGTTGTTTTTAACCGCATGCGAATAATGCCAAATATGTGAGTGCAAATGTATTCCTTGCTTGTTTGCCGATAAAAAGCAATCTCATGATAATATTTGGCGTTATTTCGGGCCCTTAAGATTCTTAAAAAACAAAGGAATGGTCAATCAATAATCGATGTCTATACAAAAGTTGTGTCTTACAGTCGTGCCAATAGAAGCGTTCCGAAAATTGTTGACCAGTTCATTTCCTAACTTGAAGGAACACATCTGCACAATTCATCAACAATTTAAAAATTTCCTTAAAAAGTTCCTAACTTCCTGTTTCATTGACCAATCAAATTTTATATTTTATTTTTAAGCAATCTGATTGGTCAATGAAACAGGAAGTTAGGAACTTTTTAAGGAACTTTTTAAATTGTTGAGGAATTGTGCAGATGTGTTCCTTCAAGTTAGGAAATGAACTGGTCAACATTTTTCGGAACGCTTCTATTGGCACGACTGTAATACCTGTTTCACTTCAAGGCTTCTGACTTTTCTTCTCGCTTTCCTTGGGCTTGTAGAAGTTTAAATATCAAACAGATTCAAAAATATATTTTTCCTTCGTAAATGCAAAACACCATATTTGTGGCGGAGGCGTACAAAAGATTCGTATTGCCTATATTCTTTGCACACTTTTCACAGATAAAATTTTAAAAAAAAGCATTCTCTTGTAGCGGGCTAATATTTGAGCCTGGTCAGTGGTAATTACCATGGGCAAAGGGGACTATGTGGCGTCAGCAAAGCTTCTACGCATGCGCAGAAGGGCGAAATCCGCCATGTTTTTTGCTTCACTTTTTGAGAAAAAAACATTAGGAGCCGGTCCTCCAGGAATTATTATATAGCTCAGTGGGTATAATGCAGCAAAATTGAACGGGCAATGTTTACACTAGCTTTATGATTATTTTTGTATTGAATGATGGAAACATTAGCTATAATATACTTGGTAAAATATAATAAGACTGATTTGAGTTTTGTGACATTTCATAATATAAGTTTAGGTCTGGTTAACTCAGGAAATTGTGTACTTGGTTTGAAATAGCGAGGGGTTGCTGCATGCATGTATTTCTAGTAGAGAATTATACTGTTCGAAGTATGGTACTATACAGTCGATAGTGTAATTTTTTATTCTTTTCTATTGATAATATACGCAGGTCCCGGACGAAGAATATTTCTGTTAGCGACATCAAAAATCTTGTTATTAGTGATGTGGAGGATGGTAATAAAGATAACGAGGTAGGAAAACTTAAGGTGGTTAAATTTTGCAATTGGTTTTTTAAAACCGGTGAATACTTTTGTAGCTTTGGTCCAAAGGTATAGTAACTCAAAAAAAAAAAAAAAAATTAAAATTAACTCCATCTAGGAATTCAAAGAGAAAATTCATATGACATACTAAAACAAAAACAGAGCTAGTAAGCTTAATTTGGGGAACCGATAAAATCTTTATAAATTAATGTTCAAATATGCGTAAAAACAATCGATATCAAGAGAAATAAGTGAGGCACAAGACGAATTTATGAACATTTCCCCCCCCCCAACAAAAAAATAGGTATACAAATAACTCTGGTAAGGACAATTACTTTCTTAGACTAAATTAAAAACAGAAATGGTTAAACATGATTCACAACTGGCATCTAAACAAAAAGCTCTTGAAATTAGTCTGAAGCAATATGGAGAATATCATCCCGTCACAGCTAAATGTTACCACAACATTGGAATCGCACAAAATAAGATGAAAGATTTCAAGTCAGGATTAGCTTCGCATCAAAAAGCTCTTCACATCAGATTGAAACTATTTGGAGAAGATCATCCCGACACAGCTAGCAGTTACCACAACATTGGATACGCACAAAATCAGATGAAAGATTTCAAGTCAGCATTAGTTTCACATCAAAAAGCTCTTCACATCAGATTGAAACTATTTGGAGAAGATCATCCCGACACAGCCAGTAGTTGCAACGAAATTGGATGCACACAAAATGAGATGAAAGATTTCAAGTCAGCATTAGTTTCACTTCAAAAAGCTCTTCACATCAGATTGAAACTATATGGAGAAGATCATCCCGACACAGCTAGCAGTTACCACAACATATGTTGTGGTAACTGCTAGCTGTGTCGGGATGATCTTCTCCATATAGTATCCAATATTGGATACTCACAAACTGAGATGAAAGATTTCAAGTCAGCATTAGTTTCATATCAAAAAGCTCTTCACATCAGATTGAAACTATTTGGAGAAGATCATCCCGACACAGCTAACAGTTACAACAACATTGGATGCACACAATTCAAAATGCACAATTTTAAGTCAGCATTAGAGTTGCACCAAAAAGCTCTTGAAATCCTATTAAAACTATATGGGGAAGATCATTCTAGCATTGCTAAAAGCTACGACAATATTGGGGACACACAGAGTAAGTTTGAAGATTACAAATCAGAGTCAGCATTAGAGTTGAAAAAAAAAGCCCTTGGAATCAGATTGAAACTATATGGAGAAGACCATCCCGATACAGCTAGCAGTTATAACAGCATTGGAATCACACAACACGAAATGAAAGATTACAAATCAGCATTAGTTTCGTATCTAAAAGCTCTTCACATCAGATTGAAAGTATATGGAGAAGATCATCCTGACACAGCTATCAGTTACCACAACATTGGAATTACACATAATGATATGAAAAACTACAAGTCAGCATTACAGTCGGATGAGAAAGCTTTCGAAATCAGATTAAAACTATTTGGAGAAAATCATCCTGACACAGCAAGTAGTTATTCCAGCATCGGCTCAACACAAGATGGGATGAAAAATTACAAGTCAGCGTTACAGTCGCAAGAGAAAGCTTTCGAAATCAGATTAAAACTATTTGGAGAAGATCATCCTGACACAGCAAGTAGTTATTCCAGCATCGGCTTTACACAACATGGGATGAAAAATTACAAGTCAGCGTTAGAATCGAAACAAAAAGCTCTCGAAGTCAGATTGAAAATATATGGAGAAGATCATCCCGACACCGTAGAGACTTATCGTGACATTGGTGTCACAAAACGTTCAATGAGGAACCTCCACGCAGCACTTGACCTGCATCAATATGTCGTGCAAGCACAACTGAAACTGCATGGTGAATACCACGACGATACTGCTTTTAGTTATGGCAGCCTGGGAATCACACAAAGCGAGATGAAAGATTACAAGTCTGCTTTAGAATCGCATGAACATGCTCTAAGAATCAGTTTGAATTTGCATGGAGAAAATCATCCTGACACTGCCGGTATTTACGGCAACATTGGAGCCACACAATGTGAAATGGGAAACTACAAATCCGCATTAGAGTCGCACAACAAATCACTTCAAATTAGATTGAAATTGTTTGGAGAACATCATCCCGACACAGCTGATAGTTATACCCAAATTGGGATCGCACAACAGGAAATGAAGGATTACAAGTCAGCATTAGAGTCCAAAGTGAAAGCTCTACAAATCCTAGTAAAACTCTTCGGAGAAGATCATCCTGAGATGGCTGAGTATGATCTCGATATTTCTCGGGTAAAAGGTCTTTTGAATGATAAGGCGAACCCTGGACAGATACAAGGGAAACCGCCAGTTTGGAACGATTATTTGTAGAGTAGAGCAATTGAAGATTTAAAGAAATTACAACTACATTTTTTGTTTGTTAGGCCATATTAGAGTATAATTATACATGCAGAGCATATCTAATATCTAATCTAAATTCCAGTTTTGATTCGCCAATGTTGGTTTATAGAGTTGCGCAAATTTGTTGGAATTTTATGATTGTGTTTTATTCGGCAGAAATGTAATGTATGAGCGCTAATCAAGCATAGATGTCATCATAGACAATCCAGAAGACAATCCAGAAGAGATGATGTCATTGTATAAGCCCATACTAGAAATACATGCATGCAGCAACCCCTCGCCTCGGTTAAGCGAAATGAGTTAAGCATAGGGATGGTGACATGATAGTTCGAAAATTTTGTGTGGGTTGGGGTGTTTGGAGGGTACTTGGTATTAATATTGTAGGTATGTGAGAAGAGAAGAATGGAAATATATTTCTGGAAGCGGAAGCACTGTAGTCATAGCAACTCGCAACCAACATCGCAATTCGCAACGGCCGTATATTTTCAAAGAATCAAAGTTTACCCTCATATTTTGGTGAAAAAAAAGGCAAAAATACGACAAGATTCTAACCATTTTCTGGAAGTTAAGTTACTCATCTATAGTCACTGTTATGGTAAATTATTTTAATTATTAATTACCATGAAATATAACATCAGACGTCTCATACGGCTTCCGAAGTTTTATGTTTACGCCCCGACTGGTTTTTGCACGCGAATATTTTAAAAAAATGGAGTTTTTAAATGAAATTATAATGTCGTCTATCACATTACACATTCATATTTGTAGTGAAATACGTTTGAGAATACAAAAGTTGTGTTTACCACAAAAGAATGACTTTTTATACCTGTGCCGGGTCTTATTTTCAAGTGTAAAATCTTCCGACTTCATTATACACGGTGAATAAGGTCGAAAATTTAGTCTTGTTTTTTTTTTTAAACCGTAAAAAGTCCTGACCACATTCGACTGATTCGAGTTTCCCTCTGATGTAATTAAGAAATAAATATATTCCATATTTATGAAAATATAAATAATATGAAAATATAGACCAATTGCGAAACTTAGTAACCGCGCCTTCGCTCAACATGGAAACGAGGCTTATTGTGCAAAAAACAATATTTGTATTTTTTGCAGTACAAAGCTATTCGCCGAGTTATATGCCGTTTTTCGCCTTTGTTTTACATATTTTTCGATACCTTTCAGCTTGGTTTCATCGTTGTTATCATAGTTTTCAGGTTAGGAAGTTTTGCCTTTCAATTGAGGCGTTTTTGTGGTGTTTTCATTAATCTTTTCGGCTGCTTTCGTCGGGGAAGTATGGAAAAGGCCGACACAAACTCAGGTAAAAATTTAGTTTTTCCAAACTATTTCGTCTCAAGTTTTGAAAATGTATTTCATTTTTCTCCCTCTTATTTGTGCAAAATTTGGCGATATATATTTGGTGCAAAATCTATGTTTTTTATGTCAAAAATTATTGAAAAGTGACAGTCAGATTATATAATTTTCAAACCTGATGACTGAAATGGCTTCATTTATTCAAATTTATTCACAAATATCACTGTATTTTTTTTTCTTTATACCACAGTAATACTGTTAAAATGGTCCAAAGTAACTGACTGAAATGTTTTTGTTTATATTCGTTTTAATAAAGTAGAGACGATGCATAGCTTGCATGCCGGCCTGAAGGTCGAATTTTATAAAAGTCGAATTCGAATGCATCTGAGTTTGCATCTGAATTCTGCATTTGTGTTAGTACAAAACACTATTCTTTCTATCTACTACCATGCAATAGATGTTTAATAAGGGTGAACCAGGAATACTTGAAAAGGAAACGATTCCGTTCACCATCATAAACGGAAAAACACTTGCGAACTCCGGTTTAAATATTTTTCGCTTTCGGCTTTGCCATCATGTAAAGGTGTATCTTAAAAACGCTGCAGCTCGCATTGTGGCTACCTTTATTGTATGTTATTGCCGGAAAAGGAATATTCAAATTGCAATTCAAAATAGACAATGATATAATGTCTTGGTTATAAGTATTTTACTATCCATGTCATGCATGTGTGCCAAGTTGAAGAGTTGTTTTGCTTTTCAGTCGGCATCACATCACATGTACTGTAGTTTATATACACAAAGAAAATAAACATAAAACTCCGTTGCTTATTTTATCTTTTATAGTTTTTGTCAACAGATTTCTACTATTTTTTGCTGAGCTGTAAAATTGCTGTCAAATTACATCTTATCGATTGATAAAATTGGTATAAAAAAATTTTAGATGAGAAATGTGAACATGGTGGTTTGTTCGATCGTGACTTTTCAATAATTTTTGACATAAAAAACATAGATTTTGCACCAAATATACATCGCCAAATTTTGCACAAATAAGAGGGAGAAAAATGAAATACATTTTCAAAACTTGAGACGAAATAGTTTGGAAAAACTAAATTTTTACCTGAGTTTGTGTCGGCCTTTTCCATACTTCCCCGACGAAAGCAGCCGAAAAGATTAATGAAAACACCACAAAAACGCCTCAATTGAAAGGCAAAACTTCCTAACCTGAAAACTATGATAACAACGATGAAACCAAGCTGAAAGGTATCGAAAAATATGTAAAACAAAGGCGAAAAACGGCATATAACTCGGCGAATAGCTTTGTACTGCAAAAAATACAAATATTGTTTTTTGCACAATAAGCCTCGTTTCCATGTTGAGCGAAGGCGCGGTTACTAAGTTTCGCAATTGGTCTATATTTATAAGTTTCTTCAAAATTTTGCGAAATGACAGTTATCCAGGTTTAAAAATACTGATATTTGTCTCGACCAATCAAGAGCTTAGTACACTGGCGCATACGCATAACGTAGAAGACCGTCCATGGCGTGAGGTCCATTGCATAATGGCGGACAACTTTGATTTCGCCTTTGCACATCCTGGGTGTAAATATCCGAGCGGAATTAGTACCCTCGCACGGTGCTCCGCACCGGCTCGGGGATTAATTAACTGTAACTATAGAGTAATAAGCGCATTAGGTACAGTGTGAGGTAAATTAGGCGTGTGCAGATGACAAGCACATAAAAGAGACAAGAAGAAAGATACTGTGATACGAGTAGAAGTCAGATACTTGTTAAAGATATCGCTTGTTGATTTATAATAATAGAAGTAAAGTATTGGACTGAAATATTAAATAAATAAACTAGTATTAGCAAATACCGGGTGTCCCAGAAAAAAGTACTCTGGTTTTGATTCATAATAGCTTGTAAACTAGCTAAGTTATTAAACTGAAATAACTTTCACTAGATAGAGGGAAGACTAACGTAGATTTTGATATATTACAGTTGTATTTTAATTAAAAAATGTACGGAGATATAAATGTTCAAAATTGGTAGCATATTTCTGGATGTGTCTGCAAAAAATGCCGTATCAAATATTAATCAAGCTTTTCTCAACTGAAACATGCACTATTAGCAGTAAATAAATGACACTTGACAAATTGCTTATTATGAAACGAAGTATTATTAGTTACAGAAAACAAGGAAGATTTATTCGTTCGGAATCGCGTGTCCCCCAACACGAATGTACCGCCTAGCCCGTGAGACCATTGCGTCGATGGAGTCATGGATCATTCGTTGTTCTAGATTACGGCATGCTGTTACGATTGAGTTGCGAAGCTCTTCTAAATTCTGCGGTTGCTGATCGTGTGGTACATTCCAAATTTGCTGCTTAAGGTATCCCCAAAGAAAAAATTCGCATATTGCATTATTTACTGCTAATAGTGCATGTTTCAGTTGAGAAAAGCTTGATTAATATTTGATACGGCGTTTTTCGAATAATTCAGACACATCCAGAAATATGCTACCAATTTTGAACATTGATATCTCCGTAAACTCTTAAGTAAAATACAACTGTAATATATCAAAATCTACGTTAGTCTTCCCTCTATCTAGTGAAAGTTATGTCAGTTTAATAGCTTAGCTAGTTTAGAAGAGATTATGAATCAAACCGGAGTACTTTTTTCTGGGACACCCGGAGTGTTGAGTTGAAATACCAAGTAACTATATTTGTAACATAAACTTTTTAGTTTCAAATACATAGGCTAGAACATATCATATTATCGTACAAGAGTATTACTCCTTGTTTTTCGTTATGAAGAATTATACCGTTTTTTCCCTCTTGGCTAGTCTGATGATTCAAAAAACCTTTCGAATCAGATTATTCAATATAGCGTATAGAGTAAAATAAATCAGGGTACGCATGCAGCTGCTGATGGGGGCACGAAATACGATATGTCACAACACCCAAGTTCAATACGACTATGTTAACTTCTATTTTTTATCAATTAAGATCTTCTCAAAGATAAGACGCCAACTACGGTAATAAATTACGGTTGCACAACACATGTAGGAGGCTCATCTATAAATCTTAATATGCATGCACTTTAATAGATAAATAAGTTCAAAAATTGCAATGCCTCCAATATTTGCCTGAAATTTGTATCACGTTGGTAGCATATATGCAAGATTTAAGTGAGATGATTCGTGGTAGAAAATAATAAAGAGATCTCACTCTAATTTTGGTCTACATGAACAGTGATTTCACTCGTCTAGAAAGATCTAAAGTCATAACCAACAAAATCTTGTTTACTTCGGCAACAAAGTAAAAAAGACTCCTTCAGTTTACCAAAATATTGGTCATTTGCGACGTTGTTTATAGTGAGTAAAATATTACAAAAAGATGAGAGTCGGGCATTCAATTTAAAAGACATCCTTGCAGAAGAAAACCTCACTTGTCAAAAACATTCCACTTCCAAAGACCCTTTCTCACGATGTCGAATATGCCGCCATTTTTTGTGTACTTTTTTTTCAAAACTGTGAGCGCGAGACCTCCTAATCGCGACTGTCTTTAATTTTAGACTGAGTCTATTCTTCAAATGGTCTGTTGATTCTAAAAATATTGCTTTTCATGTTACCATAAGTACCCCCAAAACATCATCGTGAGAAAGGCTAAATGCGTTCATTCAAACTTGAACACTTTTGGCAGTTTTGTGGCACAATTAATTTAAATACTGATTCTCTCCGTAGCAACTCTCTCGAGGAAATATGTAATTTGTTAAAAGTTCTTTTCGCTGAGTATGCAAAACTGTCGATAAAATAAAACGTGCCAGTATTTCTAAGTGGCCGACTAAACCCATTTTCTGCATGTAACCGCGAAGTTCTACCAGTTGATTATCCCAGGAGGGGGGAAGCGCAGCGGAAAAATAATTACCGAGACATAACCGCCCTTACTTGTAAAAAAATGGCGTCGCTGATGTCAAACTTAGATCTGGACATTGCGCTATTCAACACCTGTGCCTATGTTGAAACCCCAAACACGGTTACTTCCAGTAATAACCTAAGCAGGGTAGGCTTCCAGCGTCTTTCAATATCAGCATAATTCGTGTGCGCAAGGTACAAAATATTAATTTTGCTCGTTTAATACACATTTAATAGTTTTAAAAACTAGCATCTCATGACGTTAGATCTACATTCTAATCACATATATACAAAGACTTGCTGGACAATTACCAAGAGCTCGAGCGCAATTTAAGCGACACCAGTTGTCCATGGATGGTCGCAGGTTGTTAGGTAAGGCATGGGAATTCTTTCCTGCCGGGTTGGTGGGGTGTGGGGGCCGAGGTCGCATTGTAGAGAGTGGTCTTCTGGTGGGTTTTGGGCGCTGAGTTGGCCTGTTAGCAATAAACCCACCTTACATGTTTGCCTAATATTTTAGAATATGTCTTCAAATAAGATGGAATGAGATTCCCATTAATTCCTCTTGACGTTGCCCGTTTGTTTTGGCAATGCGCTAAACCAGGTGCAAATTAGTTTTTCACGAGATCACTAGTGCGTATGAGAATTTAAAGTTCTTCAATTAATCGTTCTGCGCGTGCATCTCAATTTTATAAAAGCAAAAATATGAAAAGTGCAACCCTATCAAAATGTCCAAAAGTACGTGTATCTATCGTTTGACGTTAAAACCTATAAAGGCCGTGTAACTCTATTGCGTGTGATAGAAAGGTACGAGTCGTGAATGGAGATAATTTCATTTATTTCGTACGAACGCGCTGAAATCGCACATATGGCTTGCGCGTTGACGGCCGCTATTAAAGTAAAATACAGTTCTACTACCATGCATAAAGAACATTGGCCGCGACGGCTGGTTTAGTGACAGTTTTGAATCACCGAGCATGCGCCAAATTGGCTGCGTTGACAGCACATGCATGCAAGTGGAGGCCAGCCTAAGTTTTGCGTCATATTACCGTGTTCAACCAATTAGTGTTGTATTAGTGGCCTATCGTTAGCGTAAAAGGGAAAACAAGTCTATCATCAATCTTAACGAAAGTTGATGACCATGCCAGCCTGTGCACCTGCAGATATACTTGAACCATCTGGTAATGATGTACCTCATAATAATTATGTTGTCGATGTGATGGTTGCGACACGTTCCAGAGCAATTAAGGTCCCCAAATCTTCTTTACGAAGACTCCCGCAAATCATCGAGGTCAAAATCCGCACCCATTGATGTCGCAAACACCTCCCTTTCGGCTGTTAATTGAAAGAAAAGGAAGAAGAGAAGAGCAAAAAACCCAGCAACCTGAACGTCAAATGGGAGGAGATGATGCCCGATTTCACCATGAACAATCCTGTACTGGGAATATCTAGATCACCGGCGGAAAGAGAATATCTATAGGAGGAGTAAGGTCCGCTAGCAATACGTTAGTGCATGAACTCATCGAAAAAGACAGCGATTGATTGCCATATCTAACAAAGCAGTCCATCAAAACTGACATCCACCTCACTTTTGCCATTTGATTTCAACCCTTCCCCTCCGCTTATTCAGCTCCTATATAAGCACCATCCTCTCCGAGTATTATCAGAAACCTGCCAACGTTCCTATAAACATGGCTCAACCATGATCGGTGAGAGGATTGCAGTCATTGGAGGTCATTGAGCAGTTTCACCAACAGTTCTTTAAATCAAGTTCTTGAAGCAAAATTGTCTTTACTTCGAGGACAGTAATTATCCAATTCAATTATCCCAGTGTTCTCGAAAGTTTTGAAAGTTAGTCCTTACGGGTGAAGCAAAGTGCAACTCACGCTTGTGATTGTATGTGAAAATTTATCGGGCATTACACAATAATTATGAAACGAGACTACCGATACACTGTAAAATGTACCTATATTTTAGGGCAACGTTTAGCCTGTGAATCAATCTACTTCGAGAATATGCAAATTACACAGTTCATAACATTTTGGATTGATATAAGAGAATTAAAAAAATAAGTAATTTCTCCGCTCTCTGCACAGTATAGTTGCTCCGATCCTCGTGGACCCAGCAGAAGAAATATATCCTCTCCATCGCCCATTTTAAATGTCCCAGCTCTTGCGTACTTAAAAGCAGAGCTACACAGAAATAAAAGCGTGGAAATTTTCTTAAATTAAAAAAAAATTTTTGCCCCCCCTCGCAGACTTTCTGAACTGAATTGGTCTTTTAAGAAAAACGGTATTCCCAAACTTTCAACCTAGTAAAATGTTATTTGATCTACCTACGGCTCGACAAATATTCACCTCGACCTTGATAATATCACTAATATCTTCTTCATAAACGGCTTATTGCTATACCTGTTCATTAGCATTTAGGGTGGGAACATATAAATTGTAGATACTTATTGTATGAACAATAATTAAAGACCTGACCGCATTGGGACACATAAAAGTAATTTCCACAACTTTGTTGTTTTGGGAAAATTGTTTTCATAAACACAACAGGTTGTTATTATTTTGAATCCACTCGCAAACGCTTTTCATTTGGAATAAATCCGATCTGGATGCTTTCTCTGGCTCAATTTAGACGTGTCAAACACTGTTAAACGACTGTATTAAGCCAGGTGTGTTTCTAAATACTCTACCACACCACTTTATCGAAACCGGGAAAAAGTCATGAAATAATTTTACGTCAAAACTTAGAGGCTCGATTGTTTTCCCTTACATATGAAATTACTTGTGCTTGGATCGATATACATACTGAACTTGTATACTCGTACCCAACGTCTAAAAAGCATTTTAGTTGAGCATAAAATATTGATAGATTTCAAATTTTTAATTTTGTCAAGTTGAAAGACCACCTATTCGATGCGATATATTCTGGAGATTATATAGGTCAATCTCATCGCGTAGATAAGCCTTAAATCTAGTTTAAAACTTTTTGAATAATTTACACCACTAACTATTAGGTTAAGGTCTAATTGAAAAGGGCACAAGAAATTCAACATTGTCTCTGATATTTTTTAGCTGCTGGATTAGATATATTTTCAGAGCAAATTATTTCTTGAATCGGGCAGAAGAATTTTCCCAGGGAGGAATGGTTCTACAAGCTGGTGCATCACTATTCGGGGGGAAATATTTGTTCCACATCAGCACTGACAATGTTGAAGTGGCGCGGCACATTTGCAAAACCGCGAGAACGCTGGGACAAGGTTTTGGGCAAGGACTAGGACAAGGGCTGGGAATTGGACTGGGGTTGGGTCTAGGTCTAGGTGCCCTGTATGTTGGTTATAACTCATTGGAACGATTAATCAAAGACTCAGTAACAAGAAGTGTTGGTGGCGAACGCGATGATCAGGAAGTTCGTGACATTCGACCAGGATGTTTGCATGTTGAGTTACATTGTTTCACAGACGAGAGGTTTCTGGAAGTCTTGGCGGATTACGAATCAGGAAGGATGAAGGAACGCTTGCAGGAAGAACTTTCTCTGGTTGGAATTAAAGTGGAAGGACTGAAGGTGAAGATTGACAACATTGAGGAGGTGAAAGTAACAAAGAAAGCGATTGAAAATAGGTATCAAAAGTCTTTAAGCCTTTTCAGACAGGACATATTTCAAGATAAACACTCAAACTTTGATCAGTAAAATGATTTTGATCAACACTTCTTTAGATACAACTTGTCTTTTCATAAAGATACAACTTGTCTTTTCATTCAACGTCCCCATTTGGGGATATCGATCGACCACTTTACGTAGAGGATTAAAGTCTCTTTAAGGCGACACGATGCTTTGACTTTTCATACTGTATTACAATCCTGATAAGCCCATAGTTTTATTTTCGGGTATTAGAAAGCAAAAAAAATCAAAAACCAAACGCTATAATCGAAATATTTTTTATCTCATTTTATTTTTGTCCAGCAGATGCATTGATGAAAAGGGTTTTTCGTTCAGAAAGGAAAATGTTGAAATATGTGCTACTGAGAGTGGTCTATGGGCGGGGGAGTATGCCGAGGTAATTCAATGTAGCGAAACGAATTTCCGCGCGGGTTTTGCAGAGTCGGATATAATCGATTAGCTGAAAAAACGCGTGAAGTTCGGGCAATCAAAACATTTCTTCCAAGGCCTGACAACAATGGATTTTATGAGGATAACAATTGCATTTTCGACAAATCTAAGAAAGTTTATCGTAGGAGTAACAGCAGCGAACAAAAAAAAGCAAATTTAAGTGTATTAGCTGAAGAAGACCTTGAGGAAGCGCTCCGTCAATGTTCATTTCCAGAAAGATCACCTCACCTGAGGGATCTTATGCAAACAAAAGGCAATTCGATCTTTTAGCATGGAAGATATTTACAACTTTTTGATAAAAGACGCAAACCTGTTAAAAAAAGCAGAGCATTTTATGATTCTAGAATTGATTTTAAACTGATCATGTCGAAGAGTTAAAGTCAGTAAGGTCTAAAAGCACTTAAATGTTTCATGAATCCATTGTTATAACGGTTGTAAAATATATCCTTGATTGCGTGAACTTTAACTGAAATATACTTTGAAATCTATCCACGCAAAACCGACATTATATATCAAAGCAAATCTAATCTGCTTACGAGCTAGAACTTCTTTACTTATTCATAGAGAAGTAAGATTAGCCCGGGAATATCGAACAATCAGTCACAGGAATCGTATAATTATAGTGATACCATACATTCTCCCTGTTAGAATGTTATTCAATTCAATATATTTAAGCGCCGAAAATATCCTGCAAAAACTGCATACGATTCGTCCGGTATTGGAATCTTGCCACCACAGATAAAAGACTACAAGTCGGCATTGGATCTGATAGGAACACGACTGTATGGAAAACCAAGTGATCAGAATCTGTCCGGTTTTGAAAGCACGCATCTTGACGTAAGCGATTTCGGTCAGGCATTAGAGTCGACAGAAAAAGACTTTCAAGTGAAACTAAAGCTTATTGGAGACGATCCTGCAGCAACAGCTGACAGTTATCACAACATTGGAATCTCGCGACACGAGATGAAAGATTACAAGTCAGCGTTGCGGTTACAACGAAAAGCGCTTGAAATCAGATTGAAGTTGTATGGAGAAGATCATCCTGACATGGCTCAAAGTTTTCGAGAAATTGGCAACACACAATATGAGATGAAAGATTACAAATCAGCATTAGAATCGCATCAACGGGCTTATGAAATAAATTTAAACCTGCATAGAGAGAATCATCCCGAGACTGCTGAAAGCTGCGACACCATTGGAATTCTACAACATGAATTGAAGAATTACAAATTAGCCTTAGAGTGGAAGCAAAAAGCTCTCAATATTAGATTAAAACTATACGGAGAAGATCATTCACGCGTAGCTAAGAGTTATAATAACATCGGAATCACACAACATGCGCTGAAGGATTACGAGTCAGCACTTAGTTCACATCAAAATGCACTTCAAATCAGATTAAAGCTACATGGGGAAGATCATCCTTATACCGCCCAAAGTTATCACGACATCGGAATCATACAACAAGAGTTGAAAGATTTCAAGTCAGCAATAGAGTCGGAACAAAAGGCACTTCAAATCAGATTAAAGCTGTATGGAAAAGAGCATCCCGACCCTTTGGAAATGTATCGTGAAATCGGTGTTACGCAACGTTCAATGAAAAACTTCAAAGCAGCATTAGAGTCACATCAATATGTCGTACAAACGCAATTGAAACTGCGTGGTGAATACCATAATGATACCGCTGTCGCCTTTTGCAGCCTGGGAATCACGCAACAAGAGATGAAAGATTACAAGTCTGCATTAGGTTCGCATGAACAATGTTTAAAAATTAGATTAAATCTTTACGGAGAGGATCATCCTGACACCGCGGAGAGTCTTCGCGATATTTGAGCCACACAATGTGAGATGGGAGACAACGAATCTGCATTAGAGTCGCACAACAAAGCTCTTCAAATCAGATTGAAATTGTTTGGAGAAGATCATCCCGACACAGCTGATAGCTATTTCCAAATCAGTTTTGTACAAAAGGAAATGAAGGATTACAAGTCAGCATTAAAATCTAAACAAAAAGCTCTTCAAATCGTAGTAATTGGAGAAGATCATTCTGAGATTCCTGAAAATTATCTCGATATTTCTCAGGTGCAAGATCTTTTGCATAATAAAGGGAGGGAACCTGGACTGGAAAAGGAGGGCCCTGAACTGGAACAAAAAACGTTGCCAAATTGCATAGAAAAATATTAGTAAAGACGATAATCGGAACTTTAACAAAATGTAAACTGGATTTTTTTACCCCTTTTAAACCACGCTAAATTTATCGAGACATCGCAGCCATGTTGGGCAGCCGTAACAATTTCATCGTAGTTTATATAATGTAGTTGCACATATTTGATGAATTTTGCATAGGGTTCTGTAATCGCTGCTGACAATCGATGCTGAGCCCAGTGCCTTTGCTGCGTGATACTTCTGGAACTAATGTCCGTTCTTAGGCATCGTTTCCTTTTTAATTTTGATTGTCGTTCACTTTATTCAAGTTTCGCGCATTAATAATTAATGAAATAAGCACAATCATTCCGTGGCTGTCAACCTAGAGCGATATAAATTACAATTTGCAACTCGTAAGGGCCATTACTCAAACTACTGTCCACGAAACTACCAATAAACTAAAATAGTGAGGGAATAAAACACCATTTTTGTGTGTAAGGTGTTGAACCAATACTAAAAGTGCACATATTTTCCCCTTTATATAATTTAATCGATATGATGATAATTTTGTTTCTCCGTAAGACAATAGACCTTATGCATAATGACGTATCAAGCCGTGACGACAGCAGGGAATTCTGGTTTCAGTAGTCACGGGGGAAAAAACTTCGTTCAAAATTTCGAAATTTTACTTCGAAAACTTTAAAATCTCCCGCCGACTATACTAAGACCAGAATTCCCTGCAGATTTCACGGCTTCTCACGTCATTATGCATGCATTCTTGGAAATGCAAAATATTACTAAGAAGCACAATTATTCTTGCAACTTCCTAATACAGCGGCGTCGTAATTGTCACTAGAAAGTGTACCAGACACGGAGTAGTTTATATTTTATCCCAATTTTATTTCTTGAGGTAAGACAACTTTCTTTATTCATCCGCTGATTCTGGTAAATGCTTAAAAAACGGTTTTCAGCTCGCGACAATTACGCATATACTTCAATGTGTCGCGGCTGGTGTTGTAGATGTAAAGCAGTTAGTTTCACGCTGGATTTTCTAACATACGACAATATGCTAAAATTCCTTAGTCCTGTTAAGGTGGCTCGATACAGTTTTCAAAAACTTTGGTTGGCAAGGAAACATATTAAAATCAGTTTCTGTAGTTGAAGCCGAAAGCCAAGACCGCAGTTATCTGCTTGTAGAAAAGCTGAGGCTCACCACTTACGAGCAACTTTCACTCAACTCTAACTCTAACTTGGCGCTTATGCGTAAGTACAACACATATAAATTGTAAAATCAGATGAATTATAACCTTTACGCTTTATGCTAAATTACGCAACATTTTTTATATATACAAAGTAGAATAAACATTCCCAGTCACTCAAGTCAACTGATTTTGTTATATCTTATAGAATAAAATTGGCTCGTAACATACCCACAATTTTCTTACTATAGTTTTAAATCTTAGCATCAAATGTGGTAATAACAACTGCCTAAATAGACAAAACACTTCTCGACGTTTCGACCTGAGGGCCTTCGTCAATATTTGATGCTAAATTGTTTGAAAACGCTGCCACGCTGCTCCTTGGTTATATTAGTTTTAAATCTATCTGATTTTGGTAGGTCCAGATGGGTAAAAACCGTGACCTGATGTATCTATTCACTTGACTCATATTTTCAAATACTTTTTTATGGTTTCACTTTTGATTACATGCCGGAAATGGAGTATGTAATTCCATGACCATGTAATAGGCACTTTATCGTGTTCGTCATTTAAAATTTAGCTGTCTTGATGTTGGAAAATCTTGACAATGAAAATTAAAGCATAAAATGTGAACTAAGCTGTCGAAAACTTGTACGGTTTACTTTCAAATGTATTTTATAAACTTTAAAGTTTGCCGCTTACGTTACGTCTATTTTAAGGTCTGTATAACAAATTTTGTTTGGGTGTATGTGTTGAAAGTTTAGACATTCGGCTCATGACTTCAGACTACAATTGAATACCCTAAATACTTAGAACAAGAACTTAATCTCAATTTAACATTATCAAGCTATAGTATAGCTTAGCCTGCGTGCAGACGTATAGAGAAAATACAGCCGAGCTATGCCCCGTCTGAACACTAATAAAATTGGGCACGGATACCCATTTGTTGGCCTTGCCCTTTCAGGTGATGCTCTCCAACGGTCCAACCCCCCCCCCACTCAATTAGCTGTAACATCGAAATAAAAAAGTTCAACTGAAACTATTTGACCATAAATATCTGCGTTTACAGAAAATGTACGGCGGTTATGGCAGAAGGGGTAGTTTTCCTCGGAGAGGCGGATTCGGTGGACCCCGTCAAGGATACCACAGATCGAATAACGAAGCTGGATGTATGTTTTGCACTGGGGTTTATGAAAGTCAACAGCCACATCAGCGTGATGAATGCCGCGAATTTCAGCAACTGAAAAAGAATACCTCGTACAAACCTTACGTGAAAGCAAAATTAAACGACAAAGATGAGCGTGGTTTCGCTGCTGCTGGTTTTTTGTTGTGGAAGAAAGGAATTGAGAACAATTTGCAAGTCTTAATGGCTCGCGAATATCGACATGGCAACGATTGCCTCAACTTTCTTGGTGGAAAACGGTTGCAAAAAGCAGAAAGTGCGATAGAAGTAGCGTTGGAGAAAGTCAAAATGGAATGTGGACGACAACTCTCTCCCAAGGCGTTGGAAGGAATGAAAGGTGCACCACTGGTACATTGGAGCGGCAGATCTTCAAAGTACGCGCTTTTCCTTTATGAATTAACGTTATGGCGAGATTGGGAAGTTCATGTTTCGGCTGCTGGCTTGCAAGATGATGGGGTTAAAAGATTGGAGTGGGTTTCTTGTAAAGATTTGAAATCTACTCGATTTCTAGAGCGTCAACTACACGGTTTTGCAAGATATATGGTTCAAGCATTATCTGATCCCACCTGTGACGTCCTTAGCAATATAGAAGATTTGTTTGAGACAGCCAGCAAGGCAAGCAAAGTGCATGAGAGTACTCAAGAAGTTCAATTCGACTTTGACGTTATTGCAGGTCTAACGTCCTCCGCAACCTTAGCAAGAGGGTTTTCATCCACAGGTATCCTAACCTGGGGCGATATTGCTGATGCTGTCAAGTCACTTCATGAAAACGATTTACGAAAATTGCGCCTGAAGTTTCGCCCGGACCGTTTACGTGAACAGTTAGGGCGAGATCCAACTGATCTTGAAAATGAAGCTTCTACTAAGGCAACGCAAATCCTGGACCGAATTTTAGATATGGTCAAGAATCCTAGTGATGCACCACCACGATCATCTTCCAATGGTGGGGTTTTTCAAATCATTGATGAACTAAATACACTGATTAAAAAGTACACTGGTGTCACTGGTGACGAAGATATAATTGCTGCAGCTATCACAGCAAAACTTTCTGAAATACGCCTAAAATAGAGTGACTCAAGTGTTTAATAGTACATTTGTTCTAAATTCTAATGGTTGTTCATCCTTTATTTCATTCTAAAAATATAACTGCACCGTGTAGCATTCCCTATAATCAATATGAAAGTTATTCAATAACTTCAACCATATACATTTGAAACTTTTTAAAGAGGGATCAATTTTATTACTACCTCTGTACGTAAAGGAAACTGATTGAAATTTTATTTATGTCGGCGCCTCGGTGATTAGTTTACCGGTACCTGTCCAGTAAACACGACATTATTATCATCATACTATCCATATTGTATGTACCCTGCTCCTGCTCCGGAGCTAGCAATATAATTACTACGAGCCTCGGAACGCAGCCAAATTGTACCAGGTGACAGATCATATATTTGTATTCTACTTCTTTTCAAATTCAGCGTTTTTACGGTCACTGAGCAGTGAACAAATTTCACATGAATATACGAATATGTCCGACTTCTACACCACTGCTAGCTTTGGTCTGAAATGCTTTGAAGTTTGAACAATTGAACTTCATAATCATTCATGCAACATGATTCGTCACAACAACGTCATTTGGTACCATACATTGCTGGTACATGTGTCATTGCACTTCAGAGCAGGATTGGTTAAAGGTTTTTCTCTGAAAAGAAAATCATTTTGCAGTAAAGAAAAATGAAGAAAACCGGGGAGATTTTTGGCATTCCTTCCTTTTCTTGAATGAAAATTCCTGACTTTCAAATCATGATACAAGGCTGAAAAATAGTGAGAGAAGAAATTTGCAACATTCTATTAGGACACTCCAACATTCCAAACTACAAAGGGCCCAGACTCGGGAAAACCAGTCTAGAATGTCTAGAATGTACTACCATACTAGAAAAGAGTTTTCAGGGATTTCGTTATTTATTATATATAATAGTAATGAAAGGCCCTTTCAATATTTTTACCAGGGGCCCACAGATGTGGGGTTACATGCATCACTGCTCGAAATGTTGACCCCACAGTGTCCGCCCCACATGTTTCCGCCTAACTTTGGTTGGCAAGGAAACATATTAAAATCAGTTTCTGTAGTTGAAGCCGAAAGTCAAGACCGCAGTTATCTGCTTGTAGAAAAGCTGAGGCACACCACTTACGAGCAACTTTCACTCATTTCTAACTTGTTGCTTATGCGTAAGTACAACACATATAAATTGTAAAATCAAATGAATTATAACCTTTAGGCTAAATTACGCAACATTTTTTATATA